TACTAGAGTAGGTGACATGACGTCGCCATACGTACGGTGCGAACAAAGTTCGACATGCGTACGTACGTACTTAATGAAGACAGCCTGCAAGTGAACCGGGTTAATGTTTAGGGTTGATTGGTGTTTTGAGCAATGAATGAAGGTGAATCTAATTCAGTGGTTGGTGGCGATTACGTGGAAATAATGATACTGATTTACATTTGAAAGGCGCATTTCATCCGTGGATCCCAATCCACGCCGTGTATGCGCAGCGGGAAATTAACAGAACCTGCAGGGGGGTTTAACACGTAGGCGTTCGCGACCAATATTATGCATAGCAAACGTCGTTAACGCGTATTGTGAATTGTTGTGGGTTTACTCTCCAGCACACTGCGGTGGTGCTGAAAGTCGTGTAGCTCTAAATGGGCACGTGCTGGTTCACGTGTCGCACCTTACCAATTGACCGTGTCGGCCGGAGGTGGGTTCACGACACATTCATAGTTACGTGACCCAAACCCGAAGGGAGGCCCTTGGTGTGAAGGCTCGGGGTTAGCGGCCAGCACTGGGCGGGCGTCGGGGGCTTTAAAGACCATTGTTTAAAGGAGGCGAGTGGATTCTCTTGGCCGCTGTGACAATGCCGCCATCTGTTGGTCTCCATCAGCGGCGCGGTAACGGCATCAGCGGCGCGGGGCGGGTGCGGTAATTAATCGGTCAGGGTTGGGCTGGGGCAATATTTGATTGGCACGGTCGCACCGAGGCTATTGTACATCGCGGCTCCTCTTGCCCAATCGCATCATCGCTGTAGGGGCGCTCCGCATTCATGGTGGTTGTCAAGAGGGGTGCCCACCAACTCGTAGCTTGGTCACCAGGGGGGGGGGGGGCAAAGTACCCCCTTGCTCCCCAAAGCCCGTTCCGCGACTGGTCCCCAGCGCCCCCCCCCCCCCCACCCCGTTCCAGCTCTCTCGCTCCGTGGCAAAAGTGGCGAGTGGGGAGGGGAACGGCGAGTGTGTGTCCCCCCACACTCTCTAGAGTCCTACCCTCATCACCCCTCAGGGGGGGCCTTTCAGAAAGAGGTGGGGCCTGTAAGATGTGAGGCCTTGAAGAGGTGAGGCCTTGAAGAGGTGGGGCCTGTACAAAAAAAAGAGGTAAAGCCTTTAAGAAAGTGGTGACACATTTAAGAAACAGACGGCCATTTAGAAAGAGGTGGGCCCTTTAAATGTTTCACATTACATAGCAGGGGGGTGGGTGGGGGGGGGTGTGGGGTGAACCGCACAAACTCCACAGATAATCGAACCGAGGCGCGTCTCGTTGAGGCAGGAGTGTTCCCACTGTGCCACCCCTCGTGCGTGCGTGTGGTGTACACACTTGACGAGCCATTCTTTACGCCTCACAATAGCGAATGCAATCTCTCCCAGCCACACGTGCGCTCGCTTCCAGAGTTACGGCCAAAAAGCTCCTTCCTTATCGGCCTTTTCCCAGCTCTCTTTCCCCCACAACCCACCACTTCGGTCTAAATAAAGAACAACAGCCATTATACATCGCTCCTGTGGAGACAATGGCACACAGACGTGACACGCACACTTGCACCATGCCCACTTGCACACACACAAAGATAAAGACAAAGGTGCCCCCTCCCCCGAGTTAACCTTTAACAGACTGTCGGGGCAAGTGTTGTTTGACAGTAGCCAAACCTGTGAAGGCCGACACGGCGCACGAGGATGGCTGAACACTAACGCCCGCCCGGCCGCCTTTGTCTCCCCATTGCACATGCTGTTTACACACCGCACCAGGTACTGATATGAGGCTGAGTCGACCTAGGGGAGGACCAGGAACGATTTAGATAAATCAACACTGATGTAAGATTATACACTAAACATATACATTGTGCCAACCCATACAAATACACAAGATGCCCCGTATAGCCCCTTCACAGACTGTTGGGGCAAGTGCTGTTTGCGAGCACCTATTAAGGCCTGCGTGGTGCACGAATGGGTGGTGGGCTCGGGACCATGGACAGCTGCCTTTGTCTCCCCGGTGCTGATGTTTAAACACTGCACCCGGTACTCATTTATGGCTGAGTCAACCTAAAGGAGCCACAAGACTGGTGATGTTATCCGTTACCAGGAATCGAACTCAGGGGCCACGGTGCAGTGTAAAAACCACTGGGCCGCAGCTTCCCACGTATATACAGATCAAAGATAAAGATCCCCCGTATAGCCTGTAACAGACTGTAGGGGCAAGTGCTGTTAGCGAGCACCTACGAAGGCCGGCACGGCACACGAGGGGGTGGGTGGCCAACACCACGCCTGGCCGCCTTTGTCTCCCTAGTGGCGATGTTTACACATCGCACCGGGTACTCATTTGAGGCTGAGTCGACCTAGGGGATGCCCAGGACCGGTTCAGATAATCGCTGTCACTGGTGTTGGCCGTGAGCGGGAATCTAACCCGGGTCGCCAGGTTCGTAGCTCAGCGCGCTAACTGCTACACTACCGCTACATACAGAACACACACACACATACAAACCCACATACACACAAAACCCACACACACGCACACACAAACCCACAAACACACACATTGAAACCCATACACATAAACCCAAGCACTTACAAACACAGTCACACGCACAAACCCACACTCGCACACAGACACACATGCACATTTACACACACACACACACATTCCATAAAAAAAAACCACTTTGACAAAGACTAACGCGTAAACAGAAACACTGCAAGAGCTGCCGTTTGACACCAAGTCGTGGTGATGTCACCACGGCGCTTGTGCCAGGCTCGGTGCACTTCGAGGCCGTCACGTGAAGTGTTGAAGGCTCACTGCTGGTCATGGAACAGACCCTGCAGGTGCCATAGGCTGACTGACTGAGATGACTGGCAGATGCACACTAGCTGTGCTCCCCAGTGGCAATTCGCATTCATACCCATACAGAAATCCATAAAGATCCCTAGTATAGCCTTGACATAGAGCGAGCGCCTACAAGGGCTGGCTCGGGACACAAGGAGATTGGTATCCAGCACCACGCTCGAGCGTTTAGTGGCGATGTGTACACACCGCACCAGGTACTCGTGCGGTCGAGTAGACCTAGGGGAGGCCCAGAACCAGTCCAAATAATCGTCATTGGCCGTGAGACGGAATCGAATTCGGGTTGCCGGGTGCAAAAGTAGTTCAACATACACGCATAGTACGGTTGGCTACGTACGGTGTGAAAGAAATTCAACACACAGCAGAATTTTCTACGTACGGTGCGAAATAAGTTCAACATACATATCACGGTTGGCTACGTACGGTGCGAAATAAGTTCAACATACATATCACGGTTGGCTACATACGGTGGGAAAGAAGTTCAACATGCATATCAAGGTTGGCTACATACGTTGGGAAATAAGTTCAACATACATATCACGGTTGGCTACATACGGTGGGAAAGAAGTTCAACATACATATCACGGTTGGCTACATACGGTGGGAAATAAGTTCAACATACATATCACGGTTGGCTACGTACGGTGGGAAATAAGTTCAACATACATATCACGGTTGGCTACATACGGTGGGAAAGAAGTTCAACATACATATCACGGTTGGCTACATACGGTGGGAAATAAGTTCAACATACATATCACGGTTGGCTATGTACGGTGCGAAATAAGTTCAACATACATATCACGGTTGGCTACGTATGGTGCGAAATAAGTTCAACATACATATCACGGTTGGCTATGTACGGTGCGAAATAAGTTCAACATACATATCACGGTTGGCTACATACGGTGGGAAATAAGTTCAACATGCATACATAGCAAGGTTGGCTACATATGGTGGGAAAGAAGTTCAACACGCATACATAGCAAGGTTGGCTACGTACGGTGGGAAAGAAGTTCAACACGCATACACCCACACGCCTGTTGCCCACCCTGCTGGCACGCACCGCACTTTGCCCGTGGCGGTACACAGAGAGATCTCTGATCTGCAGCGCGCGCGGCACGGACGCGGCTCACGGCCGCTATTGGTGGAACGTCTCGCGAGGAGGGGAACGCGACGTGCCGTGCCGCGCCGCGCCGTGCCGCGCCGCGCCAGCCGGCCAAGAAAATCTTCCCCGGCCACCCGCGAGCGGCGCCGTCGCACGCGGAGGGCAACAACGCAGCGCCCATTCCACCCGTCCGGAGTCACGCTTTGCAAACGAGCCTCTTACCTTGCCCGCACCCCCCCCCCACCCCGCCGAGTTCTCATCCTGGTCAAAACAAAAACAAATCAACTTTAAATGAAACTGAACTACGTAGCGGAGGATGAACGCCACCGCGTCTCAACACGCTGTGCAGACAGGGCGGGCGTGTTTATATTTTAGATAGAGGCAGTCATACGGCTCTGTGTGAATCTATGGCTGTCTCTGCGAATCTATGCCTCTCTGTGCGAATCTATGCCTCTCTGTGTGAGTCTATGCCTCTCTGTGCGAGTCTATGCCTCTCTGTGCGAGTCTATGCCTCTCTGTGTGAGTCTACGGGTCTCTGTACCTATTGCGGGTCTACGGGTTTCTGTGCTAGTGTATGGCTCTCCGAGTCTTTAACTCTCTGTGTCAATCTATGGCTCTTTGAATCTATGACTCTCTGTGCGAGTCTACGGGTCTCTTTGCGAGTCTACGGGTCTCTGTGTGAGTCTACGGGTCTCTGTGTGAGTCTACGGGTCTCTGTGCGAGTCTACGGGTCTCTGTGCGAGTCTACGGGTCTCTGTGTGAGTCTACGGGTCTCTGTGAGTCTACAGGTCTCTGTGTGAGTCTACGGGTCTCTGTGCGAGTCTACGGGTCTCTGTGCGAGTCTACGGGTCTCTGTGTGAGTCTACGGGTCTCTGTGCGAGTCTACGGGTCTCTGTGTGAGTCTACGGCTCTCTGTGCGAGTCCATGGGTCTCTGCGCGAGTCTACGGGTCTCTGTGCGAGTCCACTCGTCTCTGCACGAGTCTCTGCGGGTCCATGAGTCTCTCAATCCGTCAACCCCCCCCCTCCTCGTAGGGCGCGACCGGCAGAGTCCCGAAGACCCGGCGATGGACTCAGCGGGCTCCCCCCCGCACCACCACCCACTGCGCCGCTACTGCAGCGTGGAGAACCTCGTCTTTGAGAAGAGCCACCTCCCCGAGAACATCGTTCGCTCTGTCTACCTCGTCATCATCGGTGACGACGCCGGTGAGAGCCCCTTGAGCTGGGAGGTTTCCGGCTCTCCCCGTCGCCACCTCTCGCCGTCGCGTTTTCGCATCCCTTCATCCAGCAGTGGATTTCAAACATTCAAATTTTACCACGCCAGGGCCCACCGAGCTATACACAGCTCTTTTTCAGCAGCGACCTGACTGCCACGGATGATAGCTCAGCGGAGTGGCCTTATCATCATCACGCGGGAATCTACAGCGGCCAAATACTCTGAACGCGTGATATCGACTCTAAAATGCGGAGGGGCGAAAACCGGAGAAATCGTGGGTCTCCATGTAAAGCCATTGGGCCTCCCTGTAGGTCTGTGGATCTCTGTGCGAGTTCATCGTTCTCTCTATGAGTCTCTCCAAGTCGATGGGTCTCCATGGAAGTTTGTGGTTTCTCTGTGATTTCATGGATCTCTCTAGGGTCTCCACGTCTATTGGAGGGGGGCGGGGAGGGGGGGGGCACTTGGGGGGCTGGGGGGACTCTTGGGTGTGACCCCACCCCACCACCACCCCCTTCCCTTCTAGAGATCATGAACAATTGGTATTTATATTTATCAGAGGAAACGCATTATACTCATTCCATTGTTGTTCTAATCATTGTTATTTTATTTTAAAAATCTTTAAACTTTGCCACCCCCCGCACCCCGCCACATCTCTGAGTGAGCGACATCTGCTTAGGGGAGCTGCTACCGTGCTGGTCTAGAAGTGAGCCATCCACATCACGTTAACACGTCGTAGTAGTCGTAGTAGTAGTAGTAGTCATAGTAGTCGTAGTAGTCGTAGTAGTAGTAGTCGTAGTAGTAGTAGTCGTAGTAGTAGTCGTAGTAGTCGTAGTAGTCGTCGTAGTCGTAGTAGTAGTCGTAGTAGTAGTAGTCGTAGTAGTCGTAGTAGTAGTAGTAGTCGTAGTAGTCGTAGTAGTCGTCGTAGTAGTAGTCGTAGTAGTCGTAGTAGTCGTCGTAGTCGTAGTAGTAGTAGTAGTCGTCGTAGTCGTAGTAGTAGTCGTAGTAGTCGTAGTCGTAGTAGTAGTCGTAGTAGTCGTAGTAGTAGCTGTAGTAGTAGTAGTAGTAGTCGTCGTAGTAGTAGTCGTAGTAGTCGTAGTAGTAGTAGTCGTAGTAGTAGTAGTCGTAGTAGTAGTCATAGTCGTCGTAGTAGTAGTCGTAGTAGTAGTCGTAGTAGTAGCCGTAGTAGTAGTAGTCGTAGTAGTAGTCGTCGTAGTCGTAGTAGTCGTAGTAGTAGTAGTCGTAGTAGTCGTAGTAGTAGTAGTCGTAGTAGTAGTCGTCGTAGTCGTAGTAGTAGTCGTAGTAGTCGTAGTAGTAGTAGTCGTAGTAGTCGTAGTAGTAGTAGTCGTAGTAGTAGTCGTAGTAGTCGTAGTCGTAGTAGGAGTAGTCGTAGTAGTAGTCGTAGTAGTCGTAGTAGTAGAAGTAGTCGTAGTAGTAGTCGTAGTAGTAGTCGTAGTCGTAGTAGTCGTAGTAGTCGTAGTAGTAGTCGTAGTAGTCGTAGTAGTAGTAGTCGTAGTAGTCGTCGTAGTCGTCGTAGTAGTAGTCGTAGTAGTCGTAGTAGTAGTCGTAGTAGTCGTAGTAGTAGTCGTAGCAGTAGTCGTAGTCGTAGTAGTAGTCGTAGTAGTCGTAGTAGTCGTAGTCGTCGTAGTAGTAGTCGTAGTAGTCGTAGTAGTCGTAGTCGTCGTAGTAGTAGTCGTAGTAGTCGTAGTAGTAGTCGTAGTAGTAGTCGTAGTAGTAGTCGTAGTAGTAGTAGTAGGAGTAGTCGTAGTAGTCGTAGTAGTAGTCGTAGTAGTAGTGGTAGTAGTAGTCGTAGTAGTCGTAGTAGTAGTCGTAGTAGTAGTCGTAGTAGTAGTGGTAGTAGTAGTCGTAGTAGTAGTCGTAGTAGTCGTAGTAGTAGTCGTAGTAGTAGTCGTAGTAGTAGTAGTAGGAGTAGTCGTAGTAGTAGTCGTAGTAGTAGAAGTAGTCGTAGTAGTAGTAGTCGTAGTAGTCGTAGTAGTAGAAGTAGTCGTAGTAGTAGTCGTAGTAGTAGAAGTAGTCGTAGTAGTAGTCGTAGTAGTAGTGGTAGTAGTAGTCGTAGTAGTCGTAGTAGTAGTCGTAGTAGTAGTCGTAGTAGTAGTCGTAGTCGTAGTAGTCGTAGTAGTAGTCGTAGTAGTAGTAGTAGTCGTAGTAGTAGAAGTAGTCGTAGTAGTAGAAGTAGTCGTAGTAGTAGTAGTCGTAGTAGTCGTAGTAGTAGAAGTAGTCGTAGTAGTAGTCGTAGTAGTAGAAGTAGTCGTAGTAGTAGTCGTAGTAGTAGAAGTAGTCGTAGTAGTAGTCGTAGTAGTAGTCGTAGTAGTAGTCGTAGTAGTAGTCGTATTAGTAGTCGTAGTAGTAGTAGTAGTCGTAGTAGTAGTAGTCGTAGTAGTAGTAGTCGTAGTAGCAGTAGTAGTCGTAGTAGTAGAAGTAGTCGTAGTAGTAGTCGTAGTAGTAGTCGTAGTAGTCGTAGTAGTAGAAGTAGTCGTAGTAGTAGTCGTAGTAGTAGAAGTAGTCGTAGTAGTAGTCGTAGTAGTAGTCGTAGTCGTAGTAGTCGTAGTAGTAGAAGTAGTCGTAGTAGTAGTGGTAGTCGTAGTAGTAGTAGTCGTAGTAGTAGTAGTCGTAGTAGTCGTAGTAGTAGTAGTAGTCGTAGTAGTCGTAGTAGCAGTAGTAGTCGTAGTAGTCGTAGTAGTAGTAGTCGTAGTAGCAGTAGTAGTCGTAGTAGTAGTAGTCGTAGTAGTAGTAGTCGTAGTAGTAGTCGTAGTGGTAGTAGTCATAGTCTTCGTAGTAGTAGTCGTAGTAGTAGTCGTAGTAGTCGTAGTAGTCATCGTAGTAGTAGTCATAGTAGTAGTCGTAGTAGTCGTAGTAGTAGAAGTAGTAGTAATAGTGGTAGTAGTAGTCGTAGTAGTAGTAGCAGTAGTAGTCGTAGTAGTAGTAGTAGTCATCGTAGTAGTAGTAGTCGTAGTAGTAGTAGTAGTCGTAGTAGTCGTAGTAGTAGTAGTCGTAGTAGTAGTAGTCGTAGTAGTAGTCGTAGTAGTCTTCGTAGTTGTAGTAGTCGTAGTAGTAGTCGTAGTAGTAGTCGTAGTAGCAGTAGTCGTAGTAGTAGTCGTAGTAGTAGTCGTAGCAGTAGTAGTAGTCGTAGTAGTCGTAGTAGTAGTTGTAGTAGTAGCTGTCGTAGTAGTAGTAGTCGTAGTAGTTGTCGTAGTAGTAGTAGTCGTAGTAGTAGTCGTAGTAGTAGTCGTAGTAGTAGTAGTTGTAGTCGTAGTAGTAGTCGTAGTAGTAGTCGTAGTAGTAGTAGTCGTAGTAGTCATCGTAGTAGTATTCGTCGTAGTAGTAGTCGTAGTAGTAGTAGTCATAGTAGAAGTAGTAGTAGTAGTCGTAGTAGTAGTAACAGTAGTAGTAGTCGTAGTAGTAGTAACAGTAGTAGTAGTCGTAGTAGTAACAGTAGTAGTAGTAGTAACAGTAGTAGTAGTCGTAGTAGTAGTAGTCGTAGTATTAGTAAGAGTAGTAGTCGTAGTAGTAGTCGTAGTATTCGTAGTAGTAGTCGTAGTAGTAGTCGTAGTAGTAGTAGCAGTAGTAGTAGTCGTAGTAGTAGTTGTCGTAGTAGTAGTTGTCGTAGTAGTAGTCGTAGTAGTAGTCGTAGTAGTCGTAGTTGTAGTAGTAGTCGTAGTAGTAGTCGTAGTAGTAGTAACAGTAGTAGTAGTCGTAGTAGTAGTAGTAACAGTAGTAGTAGTAACAGTAGTAGTAGTAACAGTAGTAGTAGTCGTAGTAGTAGTAACAGTAGTAGTAGTCGTAGTAGTAGTAGTCGTAGTAGTAGTAGTCGTAGTAGTAGTAGTCGTAGTAGCAGTAGTAGTCGTAGTAGTAGAAGTAGTCGTAGTAGTAGTCGTAGTAGTAGTCGTAGTAGTCGTAGTAGTAGAAGTAGTCGTAGTAGTAGTCGTAGTAGTAGAAGTAGTCATAGTAGTAGTCGTAGTAGTAGTCGTAGTAGTCGTAGTAGTAGAAGTAGTCGTAGTAGTAGTGGTAGTCGTAGTAGTAGTAGTCGTAGTAGTAGTCGTAGTAGTAGTAGTCGTAGTAGTAGTAGTAGTCGTAGTAGTCGTAGTAGCAGTAGTAGTCGTAGTAGTCGTAGTAGTAGTAGTCGTAGTAGCAGTAGTAGTCGTAGTAGTAGTAGTCGTAGTAGTAGTAGTCGTAGTAGTAGTCGTAGTGGTAGTAGTCATAGTCTTCGTAGTAGTAGTCGTAGTAGTAGTCGTAGTAGTCATCGTAGTAGTAGTCATAGTAGTAGTCGTAGTAGTCGTAGTAGTAGAAGTAGTAGTAATAGTGGTAGTAGTAGTCGTAGTAGTAGCAGTAGTAGTCGTAGTAGTAGTAGTAGTCATCGTAGTAGTAGTAGTCGTAGTAGTAGTAGTAGTCGTAGTAGTCGTAGTAGTAGTAGTCGTAGTAGTAGTAGTCGTAGTAGTAGTCGTAGTAGTCGTAGTAGTCTTCGTAGTTGTAGTAGTCGTAGTAGTAGTCGTAGTAGTAGTCGTAGTAGCAGTAGTCGTAGTAGTAGTCGTAGTAGTAGTCGTAGTAGTAGTCGTAGCAGTAGTAGTAGTCGTAGTAGTCGTAGTAGTAGTTGTAGTAGTAGCTGTCGTAGTAGTAGTAGTCGTAGTAGTTGTCGTAGTAGTAGTAGTCGTAGTAGTAGTCGTAGTAGTAGTAGTTGTAGTCGTAGTAGTAGTCGTAGTAGTAGTCGTAGTAGTAGTAGTCGTAGTAGTCATCGTAGTAGTATTCGTCGTAGTAGTAGTCGTAGTAGTAGTAGTCATAGTAGAAGTAGTAGTAGTAGTCGTAGTAGTAGTAACAGTAGTAGTAGTCGTAGTAGTAGTAACAGTAGTAGTAGTCGTAGTAGTAACAGTAGTAGTAGTAGTTGTAGTAGTAGTAACAGTAGTAGTAGTCGTAGTAGTAGTAGTCGTAGTATTAGTAAGAGTAGTAGTAGTCGTAGTAGTAGTCGTAGTATTCGTAGTAGTAGTCGTAGTAGTAGTCGTAGTAGTAGTAGCAGTAGTAGTAGTCGTAGTAGTAGTTGTCGTAGTAGTAGTTGTCGTAGTAGTAGTCGTAGTAGTCGTAGTTGTAGTAGTAGTCGTAGTAGTAGTCGTAGTAGTAGTAACAGTAGTAGTAGTCGTAGTAGTAGTAGTAACAGTAGTAGTAGTAACAGTAGTAGTAGTAACAGTAGTAGTAGTCGTAGTAGTAGTAACAGTAGTAGTAGTCGTAGTAGTAGTAGTCGTAGTAGTAGTAGTAACAGTAGTAGTAGCAGTAGTAGTAGTCGTAGTAGTCGTAGTAGTAGTTTTAGTAGTAGCTGTCGTAGTAGTAGTAGTCGTAGTAGTTGTCGTAGTAGTAGTAGTCGTAGTAGTAGTCGTAGTAGTAGTCGTAGTAGTAGTAGTTGTAGTCGTAGTCGTAGTAGTAGTCGTAGTAGTAGTAGTCGTAGTAGTCATCGTAGTAGTATTCGTCGTAGTAGTAGTCGTAGTAGTAGTAGTCATAGTAGAAGTAGTAGTAGTCGTAGTAGTAGTAGTCGTAGTAGTAGTAACAGTAGTAGTAGTAGTAGTCGTAGTAGTAGTAGTAACAGTAGTAGTAGTCGTAGTAGTAACAGTAGTAGTAGTAGTAACAGTAGTAGTAGTCGTAGTAGTAGTAGTCGTAGTATTAGTAAGAGTAGTAGTAGTCGTAGTAGTAGTCGTAGTAGTAGTCGTAGTAGTCGTAGTAGTAGTCGTAGTAGTAGTAGTAGCAGTAGTAGTAGTCGTAGTAGTAGTTGTCGTAGTAGTAGTTGTCGTAGTAGTAGTCGTAGTAGTAGTCGTAGTAGTCGTAGTTGTAGTAGTAGTCGTAGTAGTAGTCGTAGTAGTAGTCGTAGTAGTAGTCGTAGTAGTAGTAGTAACAGTAGTAGTAACAGTAGTAGTAGTAACAGTAGTAGTAGTCGTAGTAGTAGTAACAGTAGTAGTAGTCGTAGTAGTAGTAGTCGTAGTAGTAGTAGTAACAGTAGTAGTAGTCGTAGTAGTAGTAGTCGTAGTAGTAGTACTAACAGTAGTAGTAGTCGTAGTAGTAGTCGTAGTAGTAGTCGTAGTAGTAGTAGTCATAGTAGTAGTAGTCGTAGTAGTAGTCGTAGTAGTAGTCGTAGTAGTAGTAGTAGTCATCGTAGTAGTCGTAGTAGTAGTCGTAGTTGTCGTAGTAATAGTAGTCGTCGTAGTAGTCGTCGTATTAGTCGTAATCGTAGTAGTCGTAGTAGTCGTAGTAGTAGTCATAGTAGTAGTAGTCGTAGTAGTAGTCGTAGTAGTAGTAGTCGTAGTAGTAGTCGTAGTAGTAGTCATAGTCGTAGTAGTAGTCATAGTCGTAGTAGTAGTCGTCGTAGTAGTAGTAGTCGTAGTAGTAGTAGTCATCGTAGTAGTCGTAGTAGTAGTAGTAGTCGTCGTAGTAGTAGTCGTATTAGTCGTAATCGTAGTAGTAGTAACAGTAGTAGTAGTAACAGTAGTAGTAGTAGTCGTAGTAGTAGTAGTCGTAGTAGTAGTCGTAGTAGTAGTCGTAGTAGTAGTAGTAGTCGTCGTAGTAGTCGTATTAGTAGTAGTAGTCGTAGTAGTAGTCGTAGTAGTCGTAGTAGTAGTCGTAGTAGTAGTCGTAGAAGTCGTAGTAGTAGTAGTCGTAGTAGTAGTAGTCGTAGTAGTCGTAGTAGTAGTAGTAGTCGTAGTAGTAGTCGTAGTATTCGTAGTAGTAGTCGTAGTAGTCGTAGTAGTAGTCGTAGTAGTCGTAGTTGTAGTAGTAGTAGTCGTAGTAGTAGTCGTAGTAGTAGTCGTAGTAGTCGTAGTAGTAGTCGTAGTAGTCGTAGTAGTAGTCGTAGTAGTAGTAGTCGTAGTAGCAGTCGTAGTAGTAGTCGTCGTAGTAGTTGTAGTAGTAGTTGTAGTAGTAGTCGTAGTAGTAGTTGTCGTAGTAGTAGTAGTCGTAGTAGTCGTAGTAGCAGTCGTAGTAGTAGTCGTCGTAGTAGTAGTCGTAGTAGTAGTCCTAGTAGTAGTCATCATAGTAGTCATAGTATCAAGGGGATTTCACGACCAATGTTATCCATAACGAATTTTTTTTGTGGTTATATCGCGTAAATATAAATGTGTCGTTAAACCCGCCACAGCCAATCAGTATGGTTCATCACGGAAAACAAAAAACGTGCCAATAGTTACTGCTTCAGCACACCGGTTGTGTGTTTGAGAGTAAACGCACAACGTTTATAATTAGGGTACTGTGACGTTATTATTAACATTATTATTATCATCACAAACCAGAGGTTTTAGAATGGGTTTTCCCCTTTTTTCTGGCCACAAAACAGCTTTGTTAAGATGTTAAAACTCCAAACTGAAACCTTTCACAAGGAATCCTGTCTGCATTAACCACAATACTTGTGGTCAGAATGCAAACAAAAAACATTACTCTGATCATATATTGGCATTGTCTTTAAAAGTGACTGGTCCACACCAGAGACGGCTTTCTTTCGAGCCTCCTCTCAAACGGCGTTAGACCAGAGGACGTCAAAAGACGATGCTCAAAACAAAGCCGTCTCTGGTGTGGACCAATCAGTTTCAAAGACAATGCCAACATATGATCAGAGTACGTTTTTTGTTTGCATTTGACCACAAGTATTGTGGTTCACGCAGACAGGATTCCTTGTGAAAGGTTCCAGTTTGGTGTTTTGACATCTTAACACAGCTGTTTTGTGGCCAGAAAAAAGGGGAAAACGTGTTCTCATATTTTGGTACTGGCAAAGGAGGTCCCATGATTATTATTGTTATTATTATCACCAGGGGCGGAGCCAGGGGGGGGTGACAGGGGTGACATTCTGCGTATAAGTGTTACGACACTCGGTCTGGCGGACTCCGTGCAACTGCATCGTCAGAGTGTGTCGCCAACCGATGGCGTCTAGTTCAACAAGCCTGACTCTCTAAATCATTCTTGAAATTAAAATTTGCTGAATGTCACCCCGGCCTGAAATCCTGGCTCCGCCCCCGATTATCACAAACCAGAGGTCGCCTGTTCGAGTCCATCTCCAGGCGTTGCGCTTGAAGCGAAGGGGTCGAGTTTCCTAACTCCCTCCCCCCCCCCGTCCCTCTTCCCCGGCACCACCCCACGGCGCCTCTGTCCACGCAGCAGAGTAAACGGGTGCACGGCGTTAATCAAATCAGGCGGGTCGAGGGTGGTGGGGGTAGAGTGTGGGTTACGCTCACCTGTTGCGCAGACGTCTGCACTCCCCCCCGCCCGCCCGCCCCCCCCAGCTTGAAACGAATACCCCCACATCAGAGAGCGACACTTGGGTTGTCCCTGGGCTGGGTTGGTTTTTGCCAGAGGTGGAGGTGGTACAGCCCTGGAAGGGGGGGGGGGGGGGGTGGGGGAGAGGGTTGGTGATGCAGGGTGGAGGAAACAACCGGCTTCTGAATTGAGTTCCCAGTAGAAGCTCTCGGGGTGTGTGGAGCGAAACGTCAGACGCGGCGTCGGGCAAACGCGCCGGAGGGTCGGTCGTGACTCGTGCCACCGTGCTTGCCGTGCAGGTGGTGCCGAGGACGGGACGATGACTGCGGAGGAGGCGGAGGGCGAGCGGGACGGTGGCACCGGCCCGGAGCAGGTGACGCACACGCTGCCTCTCACTCGCTCTCCGAGACAGGAGACAACCGGCTCTGAGACAGAGGGCGAGAGAATGATTCAGAGAGAGAATGATTCAGAGAGAGAATTATTCAGAGAGAGAATGATTCAGAGAGAGAATGATTCAGAGAGAGAATGATTCAGAGAGAATGATTCAGAGAGAGAATGATTCAGAGAGAGAATGATTCAGAGAGAGAATGATTCAGTGGTGCGGGAAACCGCAGACAAAACGGGAAGTGTGCAGCCAGAAACGGAGGCAACAGTTGCCCAAGTTCTGCGGTCCTACGTTAGGATGTTCGGCCAACTCCATTCAGTGTGTGATTATACTTTTGGCAAGAAACCGGAGCTGTTAATGCAGACTTGATGAAGCCTTGCAAAAGGTGCATCCTCATTTAGTGTGTGAACATCTTAGTACATCCTGTTATTATTCCCAGGACCGGTAAAAAGGGTCCACACTTGATATGACAATGATGATTATGTTGATGTTAATGATGACGATGATACAATGATGTCGCTGCTGATGATGTGGATGATGATGATGTTGATCATGACGACGACGACGACGATTCCAGACCACAGCACGGGACTCGGACGAGGCTGACGTGGAGAGACGGAGCGATGGGGGCAAGGGGGGGGCCCTCGGGGGCCCTGGCCACTCCACACGACGGAGGCAGCGCAGCAAGCACGAGGGAGCACCCCCAAACCCGCCAGACCAGGACGGGAGGGGGGGCACGGAGCCCCACACCGATTCAACCTCCAGCCAAACTCCCCCACCGCCATCCATCGGCGAATCGGAGAAACGGACTCATCCTGAATCGGAGCGGAGTTCCGAAAACCGCATCCCGGACTCCGTGGAGGACGTCGTCCCGCGAGGCGGATCGCGGAATCCGGATCCGGTCGTGGCCACCGACGGCGGCGGTGGCCGCGATGGCGTAGACGCAGCAGAGGTGGCGGTGGTGGTGGTGGCAGGGGGGCAGCAGCAACAACAACGTGCTAGCACGCACGGCGAGGATCCGGGGCAGCCGAAGCCCGGCAGCGCCGAGGGCCGGGCTCGGCGCGAGCGGGCGGCGCTGCACGTTGGCGGAGACGCGCGGCACGCGGCGGCGGCGGCGGCGACGACGACCGGAACCGTAACGCAGACCGGAGCGGCAGCCTCACCGTTTAACCGCAACCGGCGCAGCCTTGCCGGCGACGGCTCGCAGGTAAAAATCTGGTGACGTTCGGCGCGCGGTCCAGCGGGCACACCCTCGTGTGCTTTTTTGTTGTCTACTTTATACGCAGCCCTTTCACGAGCGATGTTGCGATTCATCATTAGTTTCTGTTGAGGGTAGATCGTCGTGTGGGTGTAATGTCAGTTTCTTTTTTGTTATAAAAGCCCTCCACCACCCAGCGACAGAGCCAATGGAATTGACCTATCGCCCCTGCTCCCCTCCCCAACCATAAAAAAACGAAACTTTGTGTTTTACCAGGTCAGGTCCACTGAGCTATGTAGCTCTTGTTCAGATGCGACCTGGCCACGAGTGATGGCCCAACGAGAAGCGGATTATCTCATCACGTGGAAATTTATAGCAGAAGCCAAATACTCGAAATCCATGCCGATCAAAAAAAACGGAGGACACAGAGAAAACTCCACTCGAGAGCGACACGCAAACTCCAAATATACAGCAGCAGCAGGCGTCAGGTTCGGGATCGAACCCATGACCTACCGTATACCAGGCGAGGTAGTTAACATCTCCTAGCCACCATGATGATGATGAGAGAGAGACACGCAAACTCCAAATATACAGCAGCAGCAGGCGTCAGGGTCGGGATCCAACCAACGACCTCCTGTATACCAGGCGAGGTAGTTAACATCTCATAGCCACCGTGATGATGATGAGAGAGAGACACACAAGCTCCAAATATACAGCAGCAGCAGGCGTCAGGGTCGGGATCCAACCAACGACCTCCTGTATACCAGGCGAGGTAGTTAACATCTCATAGCCACCGTGATGGTGATGATGATGAGAGAGAGACACGCAAACTCCAAATATACAGCAGCAGCAGCAGCAGGCGTCAGGGTCGGGATCGAACCCACGACCTCCCGTATACCAGGCGAGGAAGTTAACATCTCGCCACCGCCACGCTCTCCCACCCCCCGCCGCCCGCTAGACGGACTCGACGCCGTGGGGGCCGAGGCTGCGATCGCACGTGGACTCCGACGCCGGCACCGGGGTCGGAGGCCGTAGCGGGCCGCCACTGCGCAAGGGTCAGCGGTGCCACGAGGTCAGCCTGGACGCCTGCCTGGAGGCGCGGGTGCTCGCACTGGGCCTGGACCTCACGGCCGAGCCGTACACCGACAAGGCAAGTGGCCGCACCGCGTTGGCGCTCGCAGCGAGGGCCTCGCAAATCCGAACCCCCTAACGTGTTCAGCTCTCTTTGTCACTGGTGGTCGGGACAAGGCCGAGAGCGTTCTGCACGCGCGTGCGCGGGGGTGGCCAACACCACACCTGGCCGCCTTTGTCTCCCAAGCGGCGATGTTTACACTCCGCACCGGGTACTCATTTGAGGCCGAGTCGACGTAGGGGAGGTCCAGGACCGCTACACTACCGTTCCCTACACACACACACACACACGTTCGCAGACAAAGAAAAGACATAGATCCCCCGTATAGCTTTTACAGACTGTTGGGGCAAGTGCTGTTAGCGGGCATTCACACACACACACACACGGGTACATACATACACACGCGCACACTAACGCACGTGCGTGTGCCGGTGTGCCCCCCCCCCCACCCCGCTGGACGGGTGTGCGGGCGCAGCGTGGCCGAGGGGGCCTGCCCGCGGCGCTCGTGTGGAGACTCGCTGAGGAGGCGAGGGCCACACCGGCGGAGGTGGCGCCCGCCCTGGAACGAGTGCGGGTTCGACTCCTGAGAGCGGCGAGAGAGGTGGTGGGCCGGGGGGGGGGGGGGGTGTGGGGGGGAGGGGTGTTGGGTGGCAGAGACATGGGCGTGCAAAAACTTACTGTTGCCACCCAGTAAACACGGGGCCGTCGGACCAAGGTTAGGCCGACGTTGGCCCGGCATTGACCCGATGTTGCCACGAGTTTCGCTTCCAAGAGTGTCGCCGTTAAATAATTCGCACAATTGGTGTGTGCGTTGTTAACATAACAATGGTCATGATTATCGTGAACAACACTACTTATTTTTCAGTAAGACATTCTCAGCCAAAATAACCACCACCTCACCCCCTGCATTGACATCGTGCGAATCAAGATCGAGATGTCCTCCTCATCGTATTCACGATCGTCATGACCGTCGTCATCATCGTGGTGGCCACTGCCGTTGATGCCACCACCGCCGCCGCCACCACCTCCACCCTCCACCAGATGTCACACATGTCATCATCAATAATCCATGGGCAAATAGTCCGTAGGTGTCCACTGCACATTTTGTCATTTGTTTCCACTTTGCTTGTGCCAATATTGCTCACGTGGTGGCCACATCTTTCTGGCACCCATCTCTGATGTCATCGTCGTCATCATCGTCGTCGTCGCCATCGTCACGTCACTCTCTGTGAGGTCTTCCTCTCTTTTCGGTTTCTTCAATTTTTTCCCCGAACAACAACAACAGCAACACAGAGGTTTTTTGGCGTTACATCGCGTAGATATAAATGTGTCAGTTTAACACGTAGGCTTCCGCGACCAATATCATCCACAACACAGGAGACAGGGGGATTTCTCCACCAATCTGCCTGTCACCTGATGAAGCTAGTTGTAGTTACTGGCGAAACGTCGTACTCAGATTGTAAATGTTCTGGCTTGGCTCTCCAACACACCGGTGTTGCTGTACTAGTGACGAATTGGCCACGTTCTGTTTACGTGACAACCCTTACTAGTTGGCTGTGTCGGATGGTGGCGGGTTTAAAGACGCATTTATATATTTACGCGATCTAACCCAAAACAAAACCTGTTTTATGGAAGATATTGGTCGCGAAAGCCTACGTGTTAAACAACAACAACAGACTTTTAATTTCCCTGCCCTTATCCATCCTACATTTTCATAAAGAGTAAAAAAAAACCCATCTTGTTGTTTGTGCCTTCGTCCAGATCCCAATGGCCGGCGCGACAGAATCATCGTCGCGCTCGAGGACATCCAACAGCAACTCATGACCAGTTGACTCCTCCCGCGGCGGCCGGGAGGAGTCGGTCTCCTCGGTTGATTTCGTGAACTCCGGGAAGCCTTTGAAGAATTCCACCCTGGCCTGACGGAAAAGTTCCTCCTCCTCCTCCTGCTGCTGCTGCTGCTGTCACGCGAAGGCCACGGGGGGGGCGGGACGCGGGGGAGTGGACGGACGCTTGCGGGAGCGAGACAGAGTGACGGCGCGGATGCCCACGGGGAGTGGGAGATGGGGCAATGGCGGTGGCTCGGGAGGACGGGGGAGGGCGGTGTTCGGAGTAGGAGGGGGGTGGGCCTTCTCATCGACAACCTGTCCAGACAGACGCACGCACGCACGCATGCTGACGCTTTCTCTCGCACGAAGCGTACACACGTGCTCGCTCGCACAGACACGTGATACGCTCTCGCACACGCGTACAGTGGCAGTTACGCACACGCATGCGCGCACTCTTGACAGATACACGCGCGCGTACTCTCTCTCACACACTTTCACGCGCAAATATTCTCATAGACACACACGATATCCTCACACACACACACACAAAAACAAAGATCCCCCATATAGCCTTAACAGACTGTTGGGACAAGCCGGCGCTAATGATGGTGTGGTTTGGCCAGCACCACACCCGTCCGCCTTTGTCTCCCCGGTGGGAATATTTAGACGCTGCACTGCGACTCATGTGAGGCTGAATCGACCCAGCGAAGGATGATCCAGGACCGGTTCAGATATCCGTGGTCGGTGTTGTTGGTCGTGAGCGGGAATCGCGCTCAGGTTCGTCGGGTTCTTAGCGCAGCGCTGCGCTAGCCACTACAAAGACAAAGATCTCCCGCGTAGCCTTAAAGAGACTGTTCGGGCAAGTGCCACCCTGCCGCTCTGACACACTACGTACGCGCGCGCAAACACTATGTACGCGCACACACTATGTACGCGCAAACACTATGTACGCGCACACACACTACGTACGTGCGCGCAAACACTAAGTACGCGCGCGAACACATTAAGTACGCGCACACACTACGTACGCGCACACACTATGTACGCGAACACACTAAGTACGCGCACACACTATGTACGCGAACACACTAAGTACGCGCACACACTATGTACGCGCACACACTACGTACGCGCACACACTACGTACGCGAACACGCTACGTACGCGCACACACTACGTACGCGCACACACTATGTACGCGCACACACTAAGTACGCGAACACACTAAGTACGCGCACACACTATGTACGCGCACACACTACGTACGCGCACACACTACGTACGCGCACACACTACGTACGCGAACACGCTACGTACGCGAACACACTAAGTACGCGCACACACTACGTACGCGCACACGCTACGTACGCGCACACACTACGTACGCGAACACGCTACGTACGCGAACACACTACGTACGCGAACACGCTACGTACGCGCACACGCTACGTACGCGCACACGCTACGTACGCGCACACACTATGTACGCGCACACACTACGTACGCGAACACGCTACGTACGCGCACACACTATGTACGCGCACACACTACGTACGCGAACACACTACGTACGCGCACACGCTATGTACGCGCACACACTACGTACGCGCACACACTACGTACGCGCACACGCTACGTACGCGCACACACTATGTACGCGCACACACTATGTACGCGCACGACACTACGTACGCGAACACGCTACGTACGCGCACACGCTACGTACGCGAACACGCTACGTACGCGCACGACGCTACGTACGCGAACACACTACGTACGCGCACACACTATGTACGCGCACACACTATGTACGCGCACACACTATGTACGCGCACACGCTACGTACGCGCACACGCTACGTACGCGCACACACTATGTACGCGCACACACTACGTACGCGCACACACTACGTACGCGCACACACTACGTACGCGCACACACTACGTACGCACACACACTACGTACGCGAACACACTACGTACGCACACACACTACGTACGCGCACACACTACGTACGCGAACACACACTACGTACGCGCACACACTACGTACGCGCACACACTATGTACGCGCACACACTACGTACGCATGCAGACACAGCAAGTCCGCGAGCCCAGAAGACTCTAAAGACAATTTCCGCCAAGCTGTCCCAGCGAGCGGGGCCAGCGCCGCAGCGCGTTAACAATGGCGATTGTCAGTGGCAATATGCAATCCTTGTAGATAGGCCTTGACTGGAACGGATCAAGGGGAATGGGGGGAAACTTGAACTGGGCCGACACGCGCCCGTAGCACCCGCGTGGAGATGGTGCAGACAGCGGGGGGGGGGGGGGGGGGGGTTGGGGGGGTGCGGAGGAGCGGCCGTTCACTCCACCCCCCCCCCCCCCCCCCCACAAGACGCGTGGCACCGCACAGCAAACTCTCTCTCGTCGTCGTCGGGATGAACAAATTTTGTTTGGTGCCACTGCTGCTGCTGCGTTGTCTGGAAGTGCACAGTCAACAACAACAACATTCCACGCGTTCTGTGGTCGATCGCAACACCGCTTGTGTGTGTGTGTGTGGCCTGAAAAGGGGGAGGAATGTTCCGGTTGGCCACGGATCGAGTAATGCCTCTCGTGGATGGGCAACGGCTCTTCTTCAAAGCACGTCAGTGACGTTCCCTGAAGAAGGATCATTGCCCGAAACGTCGGCTACTGCATACGTTTGTTTCCTTCTAAGGCCACACACACACACACACTCGGACGCACGCGGTGGTCTTGATGTTGACACGGGAACGCGTCGAGTTATTTCACATTGTGTGCCCTGTGTTTTGGGCGCAGGACGACGAATATTATTTTGAGGGGTGGCGTGAAATGTAATGTTTTTTGGGGGAGGGGGGCGCGGGCGTGGGGGCTAAAATCATTTTTTATAAGATATGAAATGGATTTTTTTCTTTAAAAAAATTTTGACGCCCAAAATGAAGAGCCACCTCTGCTGTAAGGTTCACCGGGCTCGTCGCGCTCGCGACGCACAGCGGGTGACGGTGGAGAGGGCACTGCGTCAGTGCCCTGGCGTCAGTGCCCCGGCGTCGGTGATGACAAAGGGCTGTGACGAAGCCTCCCTTCCCAAGGAGTCCGGAGCAAAGACGAATCAAAGGATTGGCGCACACAATCACTCTGCTTCTCGGCACAGCGTCCTGGTGTTAAAAGCCCCCCACCTGCCCTCCCCCCACCACCTCGCCGGTGATGCGGAGATACTGAAGCGACATTCCCATGACCTCTGGGTGGTATTCGCCGGTTCCGGTTCACGACTGGCGTCTGGTGGGTTCCGTTCAGATTCCAACCGCTAGCGGTGCTGGGCCAGACCCGGCACGAACCGCGTTGTGTGGCTGCACGGTTTTGTTGTGACTCGCAGTGTGGTGATGGTGGTGGTGGTGGCGGCGGCAGTGGTGACGGTTGAACACAGTGTGCAGGATGACACCAAACAATCCGTGCGGTCGGCCGGGTCCGCAACGCGGACGGAGGAGGAATCGGCAAGCTGAAGTTCACGGGCGTGGAAAACCACTGGACGGTAGAAGAGTGATAAGAGGGGGGGGGGTGGTGGTGAGTGACCGCCGGTGGATGAGCGAGTGCTGGATCATAATAATCACCCCGACTGCCACTTCAAATTCTCTCCGGTGCTGCCCTCCACTTTTCCCCCAGGTCAGGGCAACACGACTCAGATCCGCCCCCCCCCCCGACACCGCGAGCCCCAGCGCCTGACTATCAGTAGCCAGGAGGCGTAACACGTTCCCCAAGTGAACTGAACGAGCGTTATTCCGAAACGAGTAGTTTTCGGTGGCGAGTTGCGTCATCACATGCACAGCGCATCACACATCGCCGCAACACATGGAGGCGCGTATACCTATAAAATACATTGTATATATATTTTAGTCAATTAACGAGTGTGGGGGGGGAGACACGAGCACTCGGAGAAAACCCACGCGTGTGAGCGAGGGGGCAACGCTCTATCCCCGCATTTTACTGCACCGTCCTCTCCTGGCGAGCCCAGGGTTTCGGCTCCTCCTCGACGCCCACCTCGCCTCCCCACGGGGGTAGGGAGTTTCACAGTGTCATCCGTGTGTGATCCACCAACCCTAGCTGCTGCTGCTGCCTCTCCACACAGTACACTTGTCCACGTGGTTCAAAACTGACTTTGCAAATGAAGGCGGGGAGGGAGGGGGGGGAATGATCACTTCAGATGTTTTTATCGCTTCAGATATCTCATCGCTGAAGATGTTTTATCGCCTTAGAATGTTATCAACTTAAAATATTTATGCAGCCCGACGGGCGATCGACCCCCATCGCAAAACACGTGCGCGCGCTCTGCTGGATTGTTATGATTCGGGGGGGGGGCTTGTGGATACCAATTCGATTCGAGAATCGCTTCCTTTCTGTCCAGTTCGCACCGTCCCGTTTTGTACCGTCAAGAGCACGCGGACTCCCCGTTTCTCTCCATGATGTAACCCTCGGCGGCGGGGGGGGGGGTACCCGCGCGCGCATTACACAATCCGCTCGACCCACCTCGTCTCCGGCTGCCTCTTCTCCAGCGTGTCACCTCCCCCACCGCCCCCCTCAACCCTCCTCCCATCGACCCGACGGGACGGGATTTACGGGGAGAGCTTTGGATGTCGGCGGCGGCGGCGGCGGCGGCACGCACACAGGGGCGGCGACACCACGAGCCCCTGGCGACGGAAGCCGCTTGTCGGAGGATCGCCGTTCAAAATCGGGCGGTCCGGGCCACCCGATTTTGGCCACGAGCGCCGGGTAGTGGCCTCTTGCGCGGGGCCGCTTCAATGAGCAACGCGCGCCCGGCCTGGCGCTTTAAACTCGCATCGCCGGATTGTTGAACATCCTTCGCGACGTCACACCGCCAGGGGTTCAACTTTGTACGACGACCAAAAACGACACCACAAAATGCATCGATTCGAATTATACCGTGGCAATAATCGCCCTCCGTTGTGAAAACTTGGCAGGATCCTCATGGAAAGACGAGCCTACGAGACCTGGTGAAACGTTCCCCTCGTAGGTAAATGATTGGGTTGTTGCTGTGAGGTGTGGTGGTAAACGATTATTTTTGAAATCTAAAAACCCACGCGCTTTGCGAGCGTCAAGAATCTTTGACGCGCAAAACGCCTCCGCCAACATCGTTCGCCAATTCCATGCTCGGGTTCGACAAGGCAACGGCCTGGCCGCACTTTTTGTTGTACGACCCTCCACCACCCGACAGAAGCGAACAAATGAAAATTGTTTAAACCACGCAACGATTACTTTCGTTTCAGCTCCGATCACCGGTTAAAGCTGAAGAATAAAATCCTCACGGCCAGATTTAGCAGCGACTCGAGGCACGGCATTTAGCTGGAAACAGCCCAGGAAGTCGGAAATAAAATTGTCACCACGGTTAATACCTGGTTTAAATCCGATTGAGTTGTTGCTATGAGGTGGTGACAACGTATTTAACATTACTAATAATGTAATTTTATAGAGCGTCATTCGTGCAATTGCATCCCGCAACACTGCAACATCAATT